GAGAAAGAGAGAAGGAGAGGGAGAGAGGGGGGAGAAACATTGATGTGAGAGGAAACATTAATATAGGCCAGGGACCAACCCACAACTTGGGTTATGTGCCTGGACTCGAAATCAAACCTGCCACGTTCTGGTGTACAGGACGACACTCCAACCAACTGAGCCACCTGGCCAGGGCAAGCGTTCATGGGTGTAAATCACTCCAGAAATACCTGTCCTCACTCCTCTCTCCTTTGCTGGTGGCTGAGGTCCTCGCCAGAGCCCTGCCCCCACCCACAAGCACTTCAGACAGCTTCATGGGCCTTGGGGCCCCCCACAGACCTTGTTCTCCTTGCTGGGGTATTCCCCCCGCAAGAGGAGAGTAGGGGCAGGAGAGGGGCTCTGGGCACAGCCATTTGCCTCTGGCTCCAGGGTAGCCCTGTTCTAGCAGAGCACACGGCTGAGCCTCCTTTCTTTCTGCTCATTTCAGTCCACTAAGTGTTAAGCACCTCCTCTAACATGCCATCTCTGCTGGGAGGGGGAGGCCCTGAGGCGTGCCCCCGTGGGCCCGGAAAAAAGGCACTTACTGTATGCCAGGCACTGAGCCTGACCTTCCCTGGCAGGACTGAACCAGCCCAGCTCTGGCCACCTGGATGCTCAGTGACAGCTCACTGAATCCATGAATGAATGGGAGAGTGGTGTCAGGCCTTTAACAGCCTCTTCTTGTCAGGGCAGAGATGCCTCCTCCTAGGTGTCCTGGCAGAGCTGGCCTGGCTCAGTGGGCAGAGCTGGGAGGCCGCAGGGGTGAGGAGCCGGCCAGCCACACCACATGGCTCTCCTGGAACACAGCCACCCAGATCCTGCCAAGCTGCCTTGAGCACTAGGGCTGAGTCTGTTGCAGGGACAAGGTAAAGATTATATCTTGAGGGCGGACCCCAAGGAAGGGAGGCAGAAAGAGGGAGGAAAAGGGAAAGGAGTTGGGATAAATCAGGAGAGGCTGCCAGCGGGACTGGCGTAAGATCAAAGTGCCCAGATGTTCAGGCCTGGCCTGATGTTCTTTATCTTAGGGGCCTGGGCTGCCAAGAGCCTCAGGAAAAGGCTGACTTCAGTCTTGAGCTGCTGATTTCAGCCCCTCCTTGTCCAGAAAAGCAGGCGGGGTGCCAGCCCTGGAGAAAGGAAAGACCGAAGCAGCAAGCTGGCCCCTCCCACTTGAAATGGGTTTGGTGCTGGCAGTCAGTGCAAAAAAATGGACTATCTTCCAATACCAACTGATGGCAGAACTTTTGTTTTAGCCCGCATACGGAAATCCTGGTCAATCAAGGTTTTCTCGTCCAGTTGGCATTTTCTCCTTTCCTCCTCTAAGTTCTGAGGTCTTATGGAGTGTCCAGGGATTGTCACTGCATGTCCCTGCTGGCTAATAGAGATGCTCTTCTGTATCTCTGGGGCTTGGGAAACTCTGGATGGTTTCTTTCCTGGTACTGGAACTGCAGGGGATTCAGGACATTGCCTCGGACATGCCATTCCTCCATGATAATGATAATAAAAATACTTATTGAGTAGTTACTAGTGCTGCCCTGTTCCTAACTGCTTACCGTGAATTAACTCACTTTGTCTTCTCAATGCACCACGAAGTAGGTGCTGTTGGCCCTTTTTACAGATGAGGAAACTGAGGCACAGAGTCGAACTTGCCCTGCCACTGCTCCTCCACCCTCCCTGCACTATACAAAGTGTTGGGGGTGGGCAGTGAGGACTGGGGAGCCCCCTTGCAATCCTGCAGGCAGGCTCTGAGAGTCAAGAACTTTGTCTTGACTCTCATCAAGACAAAGAATCTGCCATCTCCTGAGGGTTTGGATGCCTCTTTTGAGTTTATGGGCCAAGAATGACTTTGCTTTTGGTCTGTGGCGTCCCTTCCAAGGCAGTGACAGGCTTCCCCAGCTCTCTGAAACGGAGCATTCCTACGAACCCTCTCGTAAGCCGAAATGGCGTCAAGCGAAGGTGAGCATTCCCAGACCCCAAATTCAACGCGCAGGGCCTTCGTTCCGTTCACCATGACCCAAACGCTTAATCAGGTCCGATTTTACACTAAGTGTCAACGCCCGTGTGCACTCTCTCAGGCCCTTCTGATCCCTTAGGCACATCTTGCTGCCAGGTGCACAGAATAAATCAAGACGAAGCGCCGACGCTCACAGACAGCGCCGGCTGCGGGGCTGGAAGCTGGGACGCTGAGCGCGGCCCCGGGAAGGAGCTCGGGGCGCCACGCTCGCTGCCAGAAGGGCTCCTGGCGGCACACACGCTGAACGCGTTTCTCTTTTTTCCTAAACGTGAAATTTCAGACTCCCTTCAGTTAACGAACACGTACTAGTGTAGGTCTTTCATAAAAACGAAGTGACGGAAAGCAAACTTTGAAAAGAGCCGGGGATGCACTCTGGCTGGTTTGGCTCCGTGGCTAGAGCATCGCCCTAAAGGGGCTGACGGACGGGCCCGGGCTCGATTCTGGCCAAGGGCACGGGCCTCTGTTGCCGGCGCCATCCCCGGCCCCGCGAGAGGCAACCAATCGGTGTCTCTCTCACATTGATGTTTCTCTCTCTCTCGTTCTCCTTTCCACTGTCTCTGAAAAGCAATGGAAAAGTGTCCTCGGGTGGGGGTTAAAAGAGGGGAGGGGGATACTTACATCAGGGTAGCCCAGGGCTGGGGTAGGACCATGAGGTGTAATGTCTGGAATGCACATGGATGAGGTGAGGGCTCGCTTGATATGTAGACATTCTCTCCCTCTCTCTCTCTCTCTCTCTCTCTCTCTCT